ATAGGACCTTCCTCCACCCATGCGTGTATGACCCTAAAGAATCAACATTAAATTTGATACAGATATCTAAAAAAGTCAAATCCTACACTCATGTGATAACTTTTCTATAGATCCATGTCAAACTTAATGATGATCCTTTGGGGTCCTACACATATGGGTGGGGGAGGATCCTCTTTCTCTGTATCTGTGTTTGGGTAATTATGTTTGTGAGTATATATGTCAACAATATAGTTAGAGGGGGCCAAGAAAATCCAAATTGAAAAAGTATAAAAACGTATTACTTATTGTTAGTACAAAAATGTCACAATCACTCTTGTCTTTTGAATTTCAAATATGGTGATTTTAAGAGTATCATTGACTAAACTTAAAATCAAAAAAAAAAAAATCTTCAACTTTAAGACAAATTCCAAGCCAACCAATTTGACATATAGTGGCTACCAATAATGATAACCTCTTGTAATAAAAATAAATAATATCATAGCATGCAATCCCATTTAAACCATAGGAGTCCCTCTTGAGCTTGACTTAGAAGGTCACTTTAGAAGTCACCAAAGAAAGTTGTCCGCTAATGGGCGAGTTTTTGGGACAGGGTGAAACGTAAGAGCCCGCCTATCCAACATGGTTTACATACAATGCTGGCAATTAATTAGGTTTCCTTCTAGCACATCTCTGACTGTTCATTGCCTACAATGGACGGATGTGATTTCGCTCACCATTAATTATTTTGTATAGACTTTGACTGAACTCCTGGTTGACTTTAGATGGCTGCGAAAGTGATATTGAAGTTAAAAACGTTTAAATTTGGGTGAGGCATATATGAAGTGCCAATCTTATGGTGAGTGCAGTTCTAAATTTTGTTGGAAGATGGAGTTCAAGTGTGGAAAAGCTGGCTTGAAATCTATGTATAATCCGAATTATGTAATTTAAAGTTTAAAAAATAGTAAGGAACGAACAAATCTATAAAAACTTGTGAATCTTGAAAATCGACAGTCTAACTTGTCATAAAATACAATATTTTTAGCACTTGAAATTCTATTTTTTTCTTCATATCTATACATCTCTCGGTTGATATGATCAATTGAAATATTTCCAATTTCGGAACATTCTTTTCTACTGGATCTAAGATGCGCATCTTATTTCTATAGTATAAGGTTGCAACGTTACATAAACTTTTTCCATCAAGTTTTCTTATATACTTGACTAGGAGTGGATTATCTCCATTAAATGGGTGTGGTTTATACGGGGTGCCCATCTTAAACAAAAAAGCACAGCACCTTCAAACTTTTTCGAAAGATGGACCTTCGATATTGGAAACATTTACAATTGGAGGTGAGAATTGATCCTATTCAAATTGGAAACCTAAATTTCAAACCCTATTCAGATCCGGGTATGGATCCAAAATCCAGATTCATACCTAAAAGTCAAGTCCGAATTAAAATCTAGATCGGAACCGAGTGCTGGTGTATCCAATCTGGATCTGACCCAAATCCAAATTCAAATCCGACC